GCAACAGAACATCTATTAAAGCAGGAAATAAATGAGATGCTCATTGAAGGGGGGCAGTTAGAATAATCTCAGCCCTTTCCACATCTAGTGGAGGATACCTCACAGCACCACAGCCGGCCTTTTCCAAGAGGGAACCCCTTGAAAGCTGCAGGTGTACGGCAAGGAGGTACTGCAGGTGTACTGTTGCAGGTAAAGGGTATAAACTCTGACATGCCCTGAGAGCCCCAGGATTCAGAGGTCACTTGGAGTAGATGGTCCAAAGGTCACCAAGGATAGCTAGCCCAAAGCAGTACCTTAACACCATTCCTGGCACATGGTGGGCATTTAGGAAAGTACTTTTGTCTGCTTAAATTGCTAGCCCTTCTTTGGGCTCTTTTGGGAGACCCCTCATGCACTACGTGAGCTTCAGACACTATGGTCTGAGTGGTCCCTCCTGGTTACAGAGTGATCATGTGACATCATACACATGATCATGTGATTGAACTGTCCTGATGCCACATTCCCCAGGTCAGAGTGATTGGATCAGAGATGGACATGGAGTTCAAGCCAGCCAAGTATTCTGTCCTGGGGCAAATCTATTGACTCTGTTGGAAAAATGAGACTTTGGCAGGTTCACAGAGAAGGAAGGAAGGAAGAAAAGAAAGAAAGAAAAGGGAAGGGAAGGAAAGGGAAGGAAGGAAGGAAAGGAAGAAAAAAAGGAAAGAAAAAGAATAAAGAAGAGAAAAAAAAGAGAAGGAAGAAATACAATCTCATAATTTAGTATTTAAATATTTTTGTGTGTGAGGTAATTGCACTTTGCAAACTAAGATATTTCTATAAAATTATATATTGGGAGGCATTTAGATACAGGAAAAACTCAAATAGCTTAGCTTCTATTGAACTTTTTTTGTGTATGGGGTATGAGATGGTATGAAGGGCCATTTGTGTATGGGGTATGAGATGGTATGAAGGGCCATTTCTCTTTTAGAAAGTCATTTTATTAAGTCTGAATAAAAAACACATATTTGTAATAACAATATTTTGCATTGTGGTTGCTAGTGCTAGGAGAATGAGAACCTACAGGGCTGGTGGTTATCCTACCTGTGCTGTGCAGGACCCTGTCATGAGAATGAATCCAAGTTGATGTTCGAGGAGGAGAGAGACAGAAAGTTCTGATGACATTGTTTGGAACCCCTGAAAGCACTCATGCATAAAGTCAGTACAACTCTTGGACATCTCAGAGACACAGGCCAATGAATTCCCTAAGCCAAGTTGTGTTTCTGTTACTTGCAACAAAAAAGTCCCAATAAAGTAAATCAATGGACAAATGAACACATAAGCCCAAGCCTTGAGAGACAAGAAAACAAACTTCAACTCCTGTTCCTGAGATTCAAAGTTAAAGAGATGTATGTGGATAAAGCAAGTTAGACCAGTGTGGATGTACACAAAGCTTAATGACTGAGAAAAACAATGAGAACTCTTTGCTTTATAATACTATGAGGTGAAAGGAGGAGCCTAGGCTGTTGACCCAGATCAATGACATGGTTTAAAGATTTGTGCAGAAGAGTAGATTTTACTAGAAGATAAGGCTGATGTTGGAAGCTCCCCAGATCAAATCATCATATCACCTGGTTGCACATTGGGAGTTGTTGGCCAAGCATGAAAATCTGAATTATAGGGGGCTGTGACCTCTATGCATTTGGATGGCACTGCTGTAGCCTGAGCTAGGATTGAGACCATGAAGTACCCAAGATTAATTTGTCAGTGTCATTCACTGAGCTGCTCAGGCCCAGTCTCCAACAGCGACATCACGTGGTAGTGGGAAGTAATGGCAGTGATGGACCAATGAGACTGTAGTTGTCAAGTTTCTGATGGAATAGGGCTGTACCCCTTAGTGTAGAGTAAGTCTCTGAGATTCTTAGACAAATCCAGTGTGAAGGAGGCCATGGGAAGGACATCCTGGATGTTATCAGTATTCTAGCAAACGACTGGAAAAAAATAAGAGCTGTAATATGTTTGCCTCCCAAACTAGAAGATCAGGTCATATGTTTTCCAAAAGATGTTTAAGGCTAGAAGGTCAAGAGCTTAGAAATCTGATTCCAGCCTGTCATTATTCCAGTATGTGACCTTGGGTGCGTCACGTTCACTTTTATTTCTTTATTAACATCCCTTCCCCCCTACACTGCAGAAAGAGAATGAGAAGAGCCAGGACTTCTCTTCCAGTGCACCCACCGATGACACGGACAAAGCTCTCTGAAGACCTCACCTGCATCAGGTGACAGTGGCTCCAGGCAAGCATCCTTCCTACTACACAACACCCTCCATGCCCTGCGGCTATAGAAAGTCGCCAAGACAGCAGACCTGGAAGAAAGCATCTTCCTGGGGTGAGGAACGATGCCCAATGTGGGATTTGTATCTGGGCAGCCCTAGCATTGAGTTTAGGACAACCTCCTGCCAAGCAGCTGTCACCACCCTCATCCCAGCCCCAGAGGCCAAAACACAAACCCAACACCCACTTCAGGGCCCCCTGCTCCTCCCCTCTGACACCTACTTCTCCCTATAGAAAATGCAAGTAGGGCAGAAACACCCATGGGCCCCAGGATGCTGGACCACAGTGTGCAGGCAGGAGGAGAATCCTCACTCCCAGAATCAGAAGGTCTGAGCTAGAGAGAATCTCAGCAATGTTCTCTAGGTACTTCAGTTTACAGACAAAGAAACTGAGGTCCAGCAGGGGGAGTAAGTCTAGAAAGCCCCAAGGGGATCAGTGGCTGTGTTGGCCAAGGCTGGGGCCCAGCTCACCTGTCTCCTAACCCCACACTCTCTTCCAGCATCCCCCTCCTCCCAGTGCCATATCATCTCAGACAGGGCCTCTGGGTCTCTCAGCACAGCATGGCCAGCTCACGGTCACAGACGAGACTGGTGCGGGGCAAACAGGAGGCCTCTAAGCCCATCCCACCCCTGCCCTTCTGCCTGGGGCAGGGAGGTTCTGAGCCCACAGTAATCCCCTGAGCTTCCAAAGGCTTCGGAAGCCGCACAAGCTCTGTCCGGAAGAGTGTAGACTTAAGGGGGATTTGGGTTGAGCAGGAAGAAAGGGAGTGGAGGGGGCTGAGGCCCAGAGCTGTGCTCTGAGGGGATTGGCTGTGGACACCAAGAGCACGGCGTGGCAAAGCCAGATCCGGGCTCAGACATAAGCCCCCTTCCCCTCCTTAGAGGGAAGATACACAAGCTGCTTTCAATGAAGGCTTTAAACGGAACGTGTCCAGGCGTTTCAATGTTCTCTTCCCAGAATAGGCCCCTCGATTCCATCTTCCTGAGCTGGCAACCAAGGAAGGACATCTTTAACTTTGTCTGGAGATTAGAAGTCTGCCCCTTGCAATTCACTCTGCAAGAGACAGTGCAGTGCAGTGTCTGAAGAGGCACGCTTAGATTTGGGGGTGAGGCTGCCTCTGAGTGTGGCTCTATCACTTAGTGACTGGGTAAGCTCAGGAAACTACTTTATGTCTGTCTCTGAGCTCCAATTTCTTCCCCTATAAAGTAGCAGGGTAGCATTGCCTACTATATTAGTTTTCATTGCTGCTGTAACACATTGTTGCAAATTTAATGGCTTGAAGCAACACAAATTTATGATCTCACAATTCCATAGGTTAGAAGTCTGCCATGGGTCTCATGGGGCTACAAGCAGGGCATCAGCAGGGCTGCGTTCCTTCTGGAGCCTTTGGGGGAATCCTTTCCCTTGCTTTTTCCAGCTTCCAGAGGCCACTCACATTCCTTGGCTGATGGTCCCTTACCTCTGGAGGTCTGCCTGGCCAGCAGCATAGCATCTCTCTGACCAGCCCGTCATCCCGTCTTTCTCTGAACCCCCTCTTCCACCCTAAAGCCCTCATGATCATACTGAGTACACCCAAGTTATAATAATAATAAACTCCCCAGCCCCAAATTCTTAATCACATCTTCAAAGTCTTTTTTTTTTTTTTTTTTTTGAGTTGGGGTCTTGCTCTGTCACCAGGCTAGAGTGCAGTGGTGTGACCACAGCAACCTCCACCTCCCAGGTTCAAGCAATTCTCCTGCCTCAGCCTTCCGACTAGCTGGGACTATAGGCACATGCCACCTATACTGAGCTAATTTCTGTATCTTTAGTAGAGAAAGGGTTTCACCATGTTGGCCAGGATGGTCTCAATCTGTTGAGCTTGTGATCCGCCCACCTCAGCCTCCCAAAGTGCTATGATTACAGGCATGAGCCACGGTGCCTGGCCCAAAGTCCCCTTTGCCATGTAGGGCTCCAGGGATTAGGATGTGGCTATCTTTTGGGGGCAGGGAGTAGAATTCTGCCTACCACATCCACCTTTTAGTGTTGTTGAATGGGTTTAAGGCAAGGATTGAGCACAATGCCTGGTACACAGAAACCACCAGATAAAGGGCAGCTGTATTCATGGACATGGCATGTAATCATCCTAATTAGATATACATCATCTTGTGATGTCTTCGAAGGGTGGCTCCACCTCCCTGTGACATAGTATGCCCCATCCCCTGCACACACATCACACCCAGGCCAGCACATATGTAGCACCCAGGGCACATATGACAGGCCTGCTGCCCGCTGTCCCTCTGCACACAGCCTGCCTCTGGCACCAGCTCCAGATGCTGCTGTGCATTTTGCCTAAGCTTAGGTGTGTGCATCCTCTTGCAGTGCCACAGATGTTTGCACAGATGTTCATAAGCTGACAGACACGTGTGCACATACATGATCTGCCACTCGGGAACAGCAGAGTGCACACACACACACACACACACACACACATGCAGACATGCACACACCCTTGTCCCATATAGGCATGTCCACATCTCCCCAGACCCCACTGACAGAGGCCCCTGCTCGGAGAGGGCACCACTGCTTTTTCTGGCAGTCTAGCAGATTAGGCTGCCTCCCTGTCCCCTGCAGCCTACACTCAGCAGCCCCCTCCGTGTCTTGTCCTGAGTGTCACCACCTCCCATTCCTGCCCCCAGAACCCCAGCTCCATTGATTGGCCTTGCAGCTCAGCAGCCGGAGATGTGCCCCAGCTGGAGGGAAACACTCATAATTTATGGAGTGTCTGATTTTTAATCAGTTTTCTGTTCCTGTGCTGTAATTGTCCTAATTAGATATACATATTTTGATGAAGGTTTTTCCAAAATAAAAATTGTAATCGAATCTTGCTTGACATTCTTTACACCCACTCGCTTGGATCCAAACTTCCACAGCAGCAGGCTCTGGAAATTGTGCATGCAGCCTGGGCATCTTTACATGCCTCCCCTGGACCACTGCAGGGGCTGTCCTGTGGGCAGGGCTGGAAGGCAGGCGCCCACTGGGCAGGGTTGCCCTGGGCCTCCAAGTGCCCTGTCAGGGTGGGGCAGCCTTCTCCCTGTGGGTCTGGCCCCTCCAGGGCTTTTGGAGCAAGGCTTATTCCTGGGAGAGGGCTCAGGACTGTCCCGCACTGAGGGGCCCTCTCTCTGCCCATGCTTCTGCTCCCTGGGACCCCCCTCCACCAACCATGGAGAATTGATGCCATCCCACAGGCCTCGAGGGCAAAGGCTGGCTTCTGTCATCCCCACTCTTATAAATAAGAACAATTCCTGCCACTTATGGAGTATCCACCATGTTCCAGGCACTGCATTTTATATACATTAGCCCTAATCTGCATGACAGCCCTCCGAGGGAATTTTTCAGAGGAAGAAATCAAGACTTGGAGAGGGCAATTCACCCGCTCAAGGTCACATGGCAATAAATGAAAGGATTGCAGTCCTCTTTGCCAGAACACTGAGAGGCAGTGGCTGCCTCCCTAACAAGACCCGGGAGGAGCTGCAGTCCAGCTGCTCCTCTTAGGGGGAGGACCCACAGGGCTGATCCTCAGCATCAATCCGCAGCTGACCTTGAATAGCTGATGATGCACAATTCCTCCTGCCGAGTCTATAGTACAGACCACACATGGGAAGTCTGGTGTCTGTCTCCATGAGTCTCGCTAGGACCTGGAAAGCAGGGTTCAGGTATCAGTGTGTGACCAGGAAGTCAGCCCTGAGACTGACTGGGAGGCTGTGGACAAGAGCTGGTTCCTAGGATCTTGGACTCCAAGAAGGGGCCTCACAGCAAAGCTATCAGGAGATCCAAGCTAAGAACTTTCTGTGCCGATTCTTAAACTGTTGACTCTTACCTCCCAACCCTCCCAGTCAGACTCTGCAAACCATGGTTGTGCATTTCCTGATGCACCCAGTTAGCTCCTGCCAGTAGGAGGCACTCAGGAAAGAGAAAGGCAAGGAGAGGGAGAAGGACTCATTCCTTCCCCTTTGCTTCCTGTCCCTCTCAGGGTTGCCCTGGCAATGGGTCTTCAATCTGGAGGTGGAGCTGGTTTCTTTGTCAGTAGTTGCTCCTAGTTTGCAGTGTGTTTTCCCACACTTCAGAAGGTGCCTGATTGCGCCCTCTCAGAGATCCCAGCAGCAACTGATACCGGCCCCCTTCCTGAAGAGCTCTGAGTTTCAGCTCCTAGTGGCCTCTCCACCAAGCTTCTAAATTCTAATAATGCCAACCTCTTCCCTTGTTCCTTCAGCCGTAGGGATGGTGGCTGCTTCTTGCAGTTGCTACCTCTACGATTGCTCTGTAAGTCTCACAGAACTTTGGCAGTTCTGCCATACTCCAAGTCCTTCTATTAAATTCTCTCTGTTAAAATAACTGGTGTGGTTTCCGATGTTTTACTGCACTACCCCCTGCATGGTGTCCAACTGGAAACTGGAAAAGGTGTGTTAAGAGGTGCCACAGCCACACCTGTGTGGGGGAGTGTGACCCACTGACCCACAGAACCAGTCAAAAAATCCAACAGAGAACTGTACTACCTCTAGTGCTCAATCAGCACACTAGGCTGAACTAATAATGGAGTAAATGGATGAATGGGCAAAAGAATTAATGAATACAATGAAAATGATCAACCATGGAGCAGTCTGTTCCAGACCCAGACGTGGCACCTCCCTCTTACAGAGCCTAGCACAGGCTAAAAACTAAGACAATCTGGTTTGGTAATGGTTAAGATGAGAGGTCCAATTGTTCTCTGGGGTAATGACACAGATGGGGGAGTAGAAGCAACACTGAATACCAACAGAGCCTACTGAGTGTAGTAATTAGGATAATTAATGCTAGCAACTGACCCAAAAATCTTGATGATTTAATAAAACTGCTCAGTGATTTATTTCTCACTCACATCAAGTTGAATGTAGATGTCGCTAATCAATCAGTTCTTCTAGCAGACTCTCCTCCAAGTGGTGACTCGGGGATCCTGGCTCTTGAGGCTCTGCTGTCCCTAGGATAACCTGGAAGTCCTCTGTTAGGAATTCTCTATATCTAGCTGAAAGATGAGAAAAGGAAGAAAACATTGAGAATCTCCCACCCAATGCTCAACCACCTTAATCATCCCCATTCAAATTCCACTGGTAAGTACTAGTCATATGGTCCTACTTAGATGCAAGAGGGATGGAAAATATAGTCCATGACTGAGCAGCTATTTCCCAGAAATGGTAATACACTGTGGATGTGGAACACATTTTTGTTGGTCAACTATTTGTCTTCCCCTCAGGTGTGGTATTAACTTGAAGCTGTGATATCAGAAATATGTTATACCTTGTCTCAGTCTGTTTTGTGTTGCTATAACAGAATACCACAGACCGGGCAATTTATAAACAATAGAAATTTATTTGGCTTATTGTTCTGGAGGTTGGGAAGTCCAAGAGCATAGTGCTATTATCTGATGAGGGCCTCCTTGCCATGTCATCCCATGGCAGAAGGGGAAGGGCAAGAGAGTATGTGCGAATAAGCAAGAGAGAAAGGGACCTAACTTATCCTTTTTATCAGGACCCTGCTCCCACAATGATACCATTAACCCATTCACAAGGGCAGTGCCCTCATGACCTAGTCACCTCTTAAAAGTCCTACCTCTCAACACTGTTGTATTGGGGATTGTGTTGCCAATACATGAATTTTGGGGGATGTGTTCAAATTTTAACACTCCACTCCTACAAAATACATTCACTCTATTCTAATAGTCTCCAAAGTCATAATTCATTCTAGCATCCACTCAAACATCCAGATCAAAGTCTCACCTAAATTAGATATGGGTGAGATGGAAGGCATGATTCATCCTATAGCAAATTTCCTCCAGCTGTGAGCTGTGAAATCAATTCAAGTTATCTACTTCCAAAATATAATGGTGGTGCAGGCATGGGATACTCTCATTCCAAAAGGGAGAAATAGGCAAGATGAATGGAGCAATAGGCTCCAAGTAAGTCCAAAAGCCAATGGAGAAACCAACATTAAGTCTTGTATTCTAAATAAGCTTTCTTGACTCCATGTTCTGCCTTCTGGAAACACTAGGATGAAGACTGGGCCCCCAAGGCCTTGGGCAGCCCCACAGCCATGCTTTTACTGGGCTCAACTCACCCAGCAGTTCTCATGGGTTGGCATCTCGTGCCAGCAGTTCTCATGGGTTGGCATCTCACCAGCAGTTCTCATGGGTTGGCATCTCACCAGCAGTTCTCATGGGTTGGCATCTCACCAGCAGTTCTCATGGGTTGGCATCTCACCCAGCAGTTCTCATGGGTTGGCATCTCCTGCCAGCAGCTTTCTTAGTCTGATGCTGCAAGCTGGTCGCTCTATAGTCCTTGGGTCTTGGGAACGGCCCCACTCTCATGGCTCCAATAGGCATTGTCCTAGTGGGGACTCTCTGTCTTAGTTCCGACTTCACATTTCCACTCGACATTGCCCTAGTAGGGGCTTTCTGTGGTAGCTCTGCCCCTGGTGACAAGTCTGTGGCTGGAGCCCTAGACTGTCCACAACATCTTTTAAAATCTAGGTAGAGAAAGTCATGCCCCCCCATAGCTCTTGTATTCTGTGCTTGTGAATGTTGCCAAGACTCACAGCTTGTATTTTCCAGAGTGGTGGGTCAAGCCACATCTGGGCCTACTTGAGCCATGGCTGGGGTGGCTGAGGAGCACTGCACCAGAATGTGGGAAACAGAAGCCCAAGGTGTCTCTGGGCAGCAAGCCCATGGAGGGTACCCCAGCCTTATCCCTCAAAATCATTCTGCCCTGCTAGAGCTCTCAGCCTGTCATGGGAGGAGTAGCCTCAAATATCTCTGAAATACCTTTGGAGTCTGTTTCAGTCTGTTTTCTGATACTATAACAGAACACCACAGACTACATAAATTGTAAACAAAAGAAGTTTATATTTGGTTCTGGAGGCTGGGAAGTCCAAAAGCATGATGCTGGCATCAAGCAGCAATCAGCCTGTGGTAGGTAGATGGGTGGAAAGCAGAAGTTGGTACACAAGACAGAAAGAAATGGGAAAACTTACCCCTTTGTCAGGAGCCCACTCTGGCAACAACTAAACCACTCCTGTAATAATGTCATTTATCTATTCATGAGGAAAGAGCCCTCTTAATTACCTAATTACTTCTTGAAGTTCCTGCCACCCGATACTGTTACATTGACAGCTAAATTTCAATGTGACTTTTGGAGGAGACATTCAGACCACGGTAGGTTCATTCTCACGTTGTCTTGGTGAATTCCTTCTATCAGTATTGATTTTCTCAGTAAATGGTCACTTAGCCACGTGCTTAGTTTGCTCTCCTACACACAATTTTTCATTCTTTACATGGTCAGGCTGCAAATGTTTAAGATCTTTTCATTCTTCTTCTCTTTTCTGCTAATTATAAATTCCATCTTCACGTCATTTATTTCCTCTTGCATCTTACTGATTGTGGTTAAAAGTAGACAGCTTCTTCACTTATTTTGCTTAAAAATTTCTTCTGCCATATATCCTAGTTCACCACTCTTAATTTTTGCCTTCCATAATGCCCTCAGGCATGGACATACTTCAGCCAAGTTCTCTGCAACTTTATAACAAGGATAGCTTTTACCCCAGCTCCCGATAATACCTTCTTCCTCATTTCCATCTCAGACTTCATCAGAATGATCTCTACCATCCAAATTTCTACCGACATTCTGATCACAACCACTTCAGTAATCTCTAAGAAGTTTCAGACTTTACCTGCATTTCTTCTCCTCTTCTGAGCCCTCTGCAAATCACCCTTAATGCTCCATTCGTGACACTCTAGGCTTTTTCTAACCAGTTTCTCTAGATGTTTCCAGCCTCTACTCATTACCCAGTTCCAAAACTGCTTCCACATTTTCAAGTATTTGTTATAAAAAACAGTCCCACGTCTCAGTACCAATTTTCTGTCTTAGTCCATTTTGTGTTGCTATAACAGAAAACAACAGACTTGGAAATTCATAAACCTAGCTTGTTTGACTCATGATTCTGGAGGCCAAAATGTTCAAGAGCGTGATGTCGGCATTTTGTAAGGATCTTCTTACTGTGTCATTCCATGGTAGTTGGTAGGAGGGCAAGAGAGTGCACATGAGCAAAAGCAAGAGAGAAACAGAGAAAAGCAGATCCTTTTGACCAGGAGCTCACTCTTGTGATAAGGCCAATAATCCATTCATGAGAGCAGAGTCCTCATGATCTAATTACCTCTTACAGGCCCTTCCTCTCAAAGTCACATTGGAACACTCCCTCTCAAAGTTACAATACATGAACTTTGAGGAACACGCTCAAACCATACCAGACCTGGGTCTTTCACCGGCAGGACCACAAACTAGAGAAGGTAGGCAGACATAGCGCCGTGTCCATCAAAGAGGTGAAATACAGTATGTGCATTCTACTTACTGGTCTGGGAACAATGCATACCAGAGGGGCCAAGTGGCCAGAAGGGAAGAGATCCACACAAGTTTGCTGGGAAGGCATCACCCCAGCAAACTTTCCGGTGAGAAACCAAACCCAGCCGGGTTACAGCAACATACGGGACACTGAGTTTAAGAAGAAGCACAAAAATTGTGTATCTTGTAATTCTAGGCTTTGAGCTCTTTTCAGTCTGACTGATGAGACAAGGTTTGTGCCAGAGAAACAAGTGGAGCCTAATTCAAGACAGATGTGATCACTAGTCTCTGCAGGCATAAATCAAGTTTCATAAACAACTGAACTAGCATTTGGACCAACATTCCTGCTTATTTTCATCCCAGTAGCATCATGCTAATCTGGTGATCTTAAGGCCTTTAAAAGATCTGGTTATTACTAGAAGAATGGCGCCCCATCTAAAAGTTACAATAAAGCTTTCTTCCCCCGAGAAAAACCTAGCCAGCCCTTTGTGTAGGTTGACTATAGGGGGCATGAGCCCAGCATCATTTTCCTGATGGTTCCTTCTCCCTCACCCAATACTGAGCCTTCTTGAATCTAGGCAAGTGGTAAGTCCATGACCCAATAAAAATATTCCACAGCGATGAGTTAAAAGAAGACTCAAGTTGGTCCAATAAAAATCCTTCCCTATAATTAACTTAAAGATACTAAAAGGCAAAATTTCTATTCCAATTGAGGTTGATATTCTTGGAGAATATGAATTTGGGCTACTTGTGGCCATGTTTCTCACCACACAGAGAGATCATTTTCCAGAACGAAACCAAACAAAAGATGACAGGCAGAGGAGCAAGAGCTTTGGGTCCTCAGTCTCGTGCCTGAAGCCAGGTTCCTACCGCTGCCCCAGCATCCCTCAGAGCTCCTGGACCGATACATTCCCCATTTGCTTAAGCTGATTAAGTTGGATTTCTATCACTTGCAGATAAGTGAGTCCTGACTCCTATGTTGGCTTCACAGTGTCATGCCCAGCATCTGATCTGCCCATGTCTATTTTCCTGCAGAAAAACTACCATTGGACAGAATGGGCTGTGAAGCTCTTCTGAAAAGTACACAATCCTGGGCTTAACCCCAGACTCACTGATCCAGACTCTCTGGGGATGGGACCCAGGTATTTGTGTAATGCTACCAGTGGTTTTGTTGCACACGCAGTGCCAAGTTTGCTGCGTGGGATCACCGCATCCCATTGGCTGATTCTGGAGTCAAACTCCCCTGGAAAATTTGGCTCTGGCCAGGTATGACACTTTAAGGTGAATGCTAAAGGGCTCTATGGTTTTAATGCGTCCCCCACAAAGTTCATGTGTTTGAAATTTAATCCCCAGTACAACAGGGTTGGGAGGTGGGACATTTAAGAGTAGATTAGGAGTGGGGTACTGTGGCTCATGCCTGCAATCCCAGCACTTTGGGAGGCCAAGGTGGATGGATCACCTGAGGTCGGGAGTTTGAGATCAGCCTGGCCAACATGAAGAAACCGCGTTTCTACTAAAAATACAAAATTAGCCAGGCATGGTGGTGCATACCTGTAATGCCAGCTACTCAGGAGGCCGAGGCAGGAGAATCGCTTGAACCCGGGAGGCAGAGGTTGCAGTAAGCCAAAATCATGTCATTGCACTCCAGCCTGGGCAATAAGAGCGAAAATCCATCTGAAAAAAAAAAAAAAAAAATGGAGTGGATTAGGTCATAAGGGCTCTGCCTTCATGAATGGATTAATGTTGTTATCCCAGGAAAAGGTGAGTTATTGTGACAGTGGACTTGTTATAAAAGTGAATTCAACTGCCGCTTGCCCTCTTGCTTCCTCACACTCTCTTGCCTTTTCAGCTTCCACCACGGGATGATGAACATAGAAGCTCTCGCTAGACGTGGGGCCCATGACCTTGGACTTCCCAGCCTCTGAAACTGTAAGAAATAAATTTCTTTCCTTTCTAAATTACCTGTCTGTGGTATTCTGTGGTAGCAACACAAAATGGACTAAGACAGAGAGCACGACCAGGAGAAAACCAGGTCAGTGAGGGCACTCGGGCTGTTCTTCCTCTGATGTGTTTTTTCAGAAATCAGGGTGTTTAACGAGGGAAACAGCAAATCCACAAGGGATGGCCTGTCTTCAACAGTGTGAAAACTGTCATGTAGAAGAGGAATAGACTGACTTTGTGCTGTTCCAGAGGACAGGCCTTCAAGCAAGGGCATCCTGGTGCCAGATTTCAGCTAAACAAAGGGAAGAACTTTCTGGCAATTAGAGCTGCCCCTTGGTAGAAGGGCTGCCGCAGAAGGTAGTGAGCTGTCCGGCTCGGCGGTGTGCAGACATCAGCGACTCGCCATCTGTCAGTTGCTCTGGCTGGGGCTGTTCCACTGGACAGAAGGCTGGACGAGCTGCCTTTTTCTTGCCAGGATTCTACAATTCTAGAACGTGGTCTGGGGACAAATGAGGCCGTGCCTACCAGAGGGGCCAAGTGGCCAGAAGGGGAGAGATGCACATAGTTTTCAGGGAAGGACTCATTTGAGAAACCAAACTCAAGATAGATCTTGGAGGGCACAGGTAACATTAATTACAGCACAGCCCAGCCCTGAAGTCAGGAAATTCTCCACTTTTTGTAGGTTGGTTTGATTTTACTATATAATCATGACTGTGAATTACATTTATAAAGAGGGGGGAAATCCCAGATATTTCCATTTTGGAAAAAATAAATAAAATCAATAAAACTGGCTGAAGCCCAATAATGAATATTCATGTCATTGACTATAAACAGGGAGAGAGAAGGAAGGGAAGTTGTGAACAAAGTAGCTTCCATGTAAAAAAAAAAAAAAAAAAAAAAAAAGTAGAGCATTGGAGCCGGGTGCTGTGTCTGTAACCCCAGCACGCTGGGAGGCTGAGGAGGGAGGATTGCTTGAGGCTGGGAATTCAAGACAAGCCTGGGCAACATAGGGAGACCCCATCTCCACAAAAACAAACGAAAACGAACGTTGTGGTCCAGGAGGCCACACTCTTGTCCGTCTCAGTCCTGCTCCCTTAGCCCTCAATGTCAGAGTGCCCAGGAGAACCTGAGTTAGGTCTTCACTCTGGGTTTCTCAACCTTTTTCATGCTCAGGCATTTGGAAAGTTCTCTAAGTATGCTACTGTATTTCCACAGCAGGGAGAAGGGTGGAGACCATGTGCCACATCAGCAATCAAGCAGGGGAAGGGAGAGGGATGGAGATGCTTGAAAGAGGACATCTGCCTCTCACTTTGCAGGGGAAGGAGAGAGAGCCTGTGCAGATAATGCTGCCCCCACAGCCTAGAGAGAAGGAGCACAGTCGGGGGGACACAGCCCCATGGAGGCCTCAGAACTCAGAACTCTGGAATTGGCAAGTGGCAGAAACTGAACTCAACTAGCTTAAGCAAAAGGGGGATTTATTGGCTCTCGTAGCTAAGAGGATATTCTGGGATAGCTCACAGAATTAAAGAAAAGACTGCGGGGTGCCTGTAATCCCAGCACTTTGGGAGGCCAAAGTGGGCGGATCACCTGAGATAGGGAGTTCGAGACCAGCCTGACCAATAGTGAGAAACCCCATCTCTACTAAACACACACACACACACACACACACACACACACAAATGAGCTGGGCGTGGCGGAACATGCCTGCAGTCCCAGCTACTCGGGAGGCTGAGGCAGGAGAATCGCTTGAAGCCATGAGTCGTAGTTGCAGTGAGCCGAGATTGCACCACTGCACTCCAGCCTGGTGACAGAGCAAAACTCTGTCTCAAAAAAAAAAAAAATGTGGGCACCAGGACTTTGCGGCCAATTCTCTCCGTGTCTACAACTCCATCCGTGACTCCATCCATCTGTCTCCTCTCCCACACACCCATACCCACTTTTCCTCTGTGCTTGTCTCTGATTGCAGACAGGCTGTCTTCCGTGCTGATAGAGACGGCCACCAGACACCTCACGTTCACACCTTCCCACTCCCACTTCCCCCGAGAAAACTTCCTGCTGGTGGGATCCATGGCCCGGTCTCAAAGGAAGGACTCTGATTGGCCCTGCTCTCATGCCCCTCACCCACCTCACACTGATCACCTTTGTCCGAGGAATGGGCCCTGTGATCACTCAGGTGTGGGTTCCATGCCTGTCCCTAGGGGCTCCGGAAGAGTGAGGGGCCTTAATAGCAACCCCTATCGGGGTCTGGGGTCAGATGCATTAGGGGAGTGGGAGGGTGATGAAGGAGGATCTTGGAGCAAAGAGGAGGGGCCACTCACCTCCCCCGGGAAAGTTCTCGTCGGCTGACAGTCAGTGTGGGACTCCCTCCCTCGGGCCTGCTGACCCATGAGTGGGCAGCTCTGCCTTCAGTGTGTGGAAGGGTCCAGGCAGGACTGGCTGATGGCAGCTTGCCCTGATCCTCAGAGGATGATGCTCAGTGAGGTTCAGCCTCTATAAACACACAAACACTTGCATACTCACGCACATCCACACAGGTGCACAATCACATACTCTCATACCCACCAGACACCCCCAACACACACAGACATGCATACACACACACACTGACACTCATACCCTACAAATGCACACTCACAGACACACACTGGTACTTAGACACATTTGCACACACAGACACATTGACACACTGACAGACACACTCACAGATACACACTCGCATGCTCTCATGCTCACTGCACACTGACACACTCATAGATACGCTTACACGTTGACACACACACGTTGACACAGAAACATTCAAACAGATGCACATCACACTGACACAAACACACGCTCTCACAATGTACAGACACACAGACACATTCATGCAGATGCACACTCGCACACGTGATACATTCACAATTCACCCACACATACTCAGACATATTCACAATCTCATGCTCAGTCACAGACCACTCATACACACTCACTTTCACACATTCACACACATTCACACTCTCATACATTCACACTCACAATCACACATGCTCACACTCACACACTCAGACTTACACACGCATTCACACTCACTCTCACATATTCTCTCACACACATTTGCATACTCACACATGCTTACACACTCACCTACACACTCATTCACACACTCTCACATATGGCCCTACACACACACACACACACACACACACTTCTCCATAACCTTTGAAGGTCCCCCCACTGCCTCCCACACAGGCCTTACTGAGAGCATGCAGGGAGTTTGCTCTCCTGGCTCCACAGTGGACACGGGGCAGCCTGGCTGCATCTCCCTCCTGGCTGCATCTCCCCCCACCCAGCTGCATCTCCCTCCTAGCAGGGAAGGTCTCACACTGTCCCCTCCACTCCCCTCCAGGTAGGGTCACCTCAGCCTGAGCACCCCAGTAAGATTCTGTCTTATTTCTAAGGCCTCCAGAGGAAATGTTGATTCCCAAGGAAGGCAAGAAGAGAAAGAAGGCGTCATTGCTGAACTGCACTGGTAGCCAAGAGCACATCCTCAATGAAGGCGTCCCTGTCCCACCGCCCTGCCTGGGAATCCCAGACTGTGGTTGGAGCTGTGCACCCGCAGGCCATCTCTGCACCCTCTCTGAGTCCATATCCCCCTCTGCTGGGCAGATGTCAACATGCCTGCCTCAGGGGCCTCCCAGAGGACACCAGGAGAGATCAAGTGGCACCCAGCATAGTGCTCCCCGCTCAGGGACGGGTCGATGAGGTCGGCTCCCTTTCCCTCCCACAGAGGCCGCATCTGGGAGATGGTGGACTCCCACACGAAATCAGCGAAGGGTGATGCCCAGGCAGGGTGTGCCTCGTCAGCTGTATGATCTGTCCTGGCTGAGGCAGGGAACCTCAGATCACCACCACCCTCAAAGCTCACTCCCCAAAGAGTCCTAAAAAAAAAGTCACTCTGTCTCCCCTGCGTGGTTTGGAAACCCAGACATCAAAGCCCAGCACTGCCTGTGGGCTTTTCCTCCCTCCTTCCTAGGCTTAGCTCTTCATTCACCCTTCCCTCCCCGTGTCTGCACAACAGACAGACGGTGTGATGCAGAAGCCTCTCTATCCAAGCAGGGAGGGTGAGGCCCCTATGCCTTTGATCTTCCCCCTCCTGGGATGCCCTTCCTTTTCTCCACTCCATCAGCAAGACCCTTCCAACAGTCGCCTCTGCCGTGAAGCCCCTGCAAGCCACAGCCCCTCAACCCTGGTTGCTAACCACCCCCTCCGCACACCCCTGCTGCCTCCTGGCTGGATTTTAGGTTTAGGATCAAGCTCCAGGAGACCCAGGTCCTTGAGGGCACAGGCCTTGCACAGTGGACACACTGCTACGGCCAGGCCTGGCTCAGTGGCAGGGCACATCCAGGGCCCCTTAGGACGGCACTAGAGAATCCACGTGACCAGTTCCCTCATTTCCCTGGCAATTTGTCTGCTCTTGGTCTCTCTCCAAAACATCCACTTCTCCTTTCAGAGGCCACCTCTTTTCTGCTAGTTGATATTTATGGATAATAAGCCAAGCGCAGCAAAGCAGAGGTGAAATGTCTCTTGAAATAAATACTCTCCCCAACAAACTGGTCAATCCCTCCAGGCAGGATGGGCTTTGCTGGCAGCCCGGGAAGTGCAGGCAGGAGGCCTGGGAGCAGGAGGAAGAAGGGGCTCCTGGGGATTCTGAGGGATGGGATAGGGGTGGGGTAGGAGGAGGGGCGGGCAGATCACCA